GCCCCCTGCCAGGCGGAGTTCTGCTGGAGGCCAGCCTCCCTCCGGCCTCCCTGGCACCCTTGGGTGTCTCGGAGAAGGGCAAGGCCCCCCTGTTCTTCCAGCCGGGCCCCAGCCATGCTCAGAGCTCAAGCCAGACCCCCCAAATGGTGGCCATGCTCTCCACGGGGCCCACAGGCATGAGTGCGTCCTAGGTGTGCGCCCCGTTGCTGTGTGTGCCTCGGCCCTACCTGTGAAACCCCCCTGCCCCGCCCCCCGGAGGGCAGCCAGGCTGGCGTGGCCGAGACTCGGAGAAGCCCGTGTGAAGTGAGGCTGTCGGACCCGGGCCACAGAGGCTGGACGCTGTCCTCAACACTGACAGAGCTCAGCGTGTGCCGCGGCTGGGAGGGAGGCACGGGAGCGGGGCCCACAGAGCCACCTGCAGGGCCCCAGAGGCTCCGGGCACCTGGGCTTGTGAGCGAGCTGTTGGCCTCCTGATCGGTCCACGCTTCCCCGCGCACTGCCCCTGTCACACCGCCCAAGGCCTGCTTGTCCACCTGGTCACTCGGTTGCTCACGTCTTGCCCGGCCCCGGGACTAGCTGCTGCCATGTCACTGGACTGGACGCCGAGCCTGGAAACTAACGAAGCAGCGGGAACGCATTGGGAGCTTTGGGGGACGGATGGGAAAGCCCGGTCCCGGAGGCGTGGTCATCAGCCCAGAGGTGCCATCCATTCAACAGCCCCATTAGGTGGACAGGAGCAGGATCTGCGCTGTGGAGGGCACTTAGTCAGCAGGGGAACCAGAAGCACACGAAAAACGGTGATTCCCACACAGTGACAGTTTGCTGGGGGCCCTGGTAGGCGTGGGGTCCTCAGAATAAACACACCCAGCTACCTTGGGCCGGTCTGTGCCTCGCAGACACCGTGGCTGGCAGCCACAGAGACCAGAGGGAGAGCTTCGCGCTGAGATCCGGCCGAGCCGGGCGTTCCAGACGCCGACACCAGGCACCTTTCCCTGCACGCTGAGTAATGTGTGTGTGCACGTCCCAAAGATTGTTTAAACCTAATATTTGTATTTGCTGAGGAGACTGGAACAGGAGGGGGTGCAGTTTCATATAAGTAAAGGTTCTTTAGCTTTTTTTTTTTACTTTTGAAACAAGCCTACTGCCATTGTGAGTACTTTATTAACTTATTGACTCCACACAGGGACTCAAGTGCAATGAGTTGATTTAGAGGGGATCCCAGGAAGCCCTGCTTGGGGAGCGGGGCAGTGAGGCAGGGAAGGCAGGAGGCAGCAGAGGGTGTTATCAAACAGCGCCAGTGCCGGCAACTGCTGCCTGACCCTGCCAGCAGCTTTGGGAAGCCATGCACCGTGTATGCCTGGAGGGGTCCCTGCAAAGTGGGGGTGGGGGGCTGTGGTGTTCGTCCACCCACTCCCCTCTGTCACTGGCAGCAGCTGGCACGCTTTGCCAAGGTACTGGCTGAGCCGGGTGTTCCAGACGCCAACACCAGGCACCTTTCCCTGCACGCCGGCCCGGACCGCACACCGAGTAATGTGTGTGTGATATGTGACACGGCACCAGAGTTAAGTTAGGGTTTTTCAAAATGCTGACACGCCGGGTTCAAAAGGTTCGCCATCTCTGCTCTAGGTGATTGTCCTGGACATCCAGCAGGTGGTGTGATGGACGGGGCCTCAGACGGGCAGGCAGGGGATTGTAAGCTCCTAGGTCTGTGTTACTCTGTGTCTCTTTCAAAATGAGAGGCTTGGCTGTTGGAGGTCCCTTCCTGCTCTGGCATTCTGCACAGTGCTCTAGAGGCGACGGGGAGCTCACTACCTTACATGCCGCCTGATGTCCGTCAAAGTGTCTCCTTGGTTTTTTTGTTTGTTGTTTTTTTTAAGTGTCTTCTTTGTACTGAGCCCAAAACTATTGCTCTAGCTGCCAGAGTCACCCCACCCTCCACCGCCAGACACCCAGTTTAAAAGTGGGGACACAGCTTCAGGGAGAAAAAGGGACTTGCTAAGGTCAGCAGTGAATGGCAGAGCCTGAACTAGCCCTCTGGACTTTGCCTTCAGAAGCCTTCATAACAAAATATAAGAATTAAAAATAGCTATTTAGCGCCAAGCAACATGCCAAGTGCTGTATACCCACTGTGTCAGCTCTAGTAGGCAGGTCCAGTCATCCCAGTTTTACAGTTGAGGAAGCAGGCCCACAGCGAGGAAGTCCTGGAGCCAGGTCTGGCTGCAGAGCTCCAGCCCCAGGGGATGCCATCTCATGTGCAGCATGGCACCTATTCAAATGTCAGCTCTAATCCACTTTGAGCATCGTCTCAGAAAACCCAATTTAAACATTAAGCAGCAGAGAAAATACATTCGTGTGAGTGGTGGAGGGGCAGTCGGGTTGAAGTGCAACAGACTGGAGGCAGGAGTGACTGTTCTCTCCTCAGGATCTTATAAGCAAGAGACCCAGGTTGTCAGCTGAGGCTGATGTGACAGAAATAACGGCTTGGGGGGAGGGGGGGAGCCTGGGATGGAGAATTAGATAGAGACACCTCCCGTCTCTCCCCTGCATTTAACCCCACTCCCAGGCTCTGGGAAGCTGGAGAAAGGCCACTGTTCCTGCTCCCCCACCCCCCTTCTCCTCCTGGATCTTACAGTTAGTGAGGGAAAGACAGACATGAAACAAAAGGAAAAATTGCCAACACTGATGGGTGCTGTGCCCCTGAGAAAGACACCTACTAAGAAGGGCTCCTAGTGGCTAACTCAGGGGAGGGCAAACTTTTTGACTCGAGGGCCACAATGGGTTCTTAAACTGGACCGGAGGGCTGGAACAAAAGCATGGATGGAGTGTTTGTGTGAACTAATATAAATTCAAAGTAAACATTACATAAAAGGGTACGGTCTTTTTTTTCAATGGTTTTATTCATTTCAAACAGCCGGATCCGGCCCGCGGGCTGTAGTTTGCCCACGGCTGGCGTTAACTGAACTCAAATTAAAAAAAATAAATAAATAACAGAACCTAGCAGCAGTTTCTTCACAAGGATCTCTCATGCAAACTTCAAGGAGAAGCCTGCATTGGACCGCCTGCCTGCCTGCCTGCACTGTGCTGCTGCCCTGTGAGCCCTGGGATCCCATTTCAACCAATAGGACTGAGGTTTTCCCCACCCAATTGGAGCTGGGCAGCTCCACACAGCTCTATCCTGACCAATCAGGACAGTGCCTTTTTGGGCCAATCAAACTTTGAGTCCTCATTTGCATGAGGACAGACCAATCAGGGACTAAGGGCAGAAACTTCCGCCCATATAAGCCCTCTGCCTTTGCACTGAGAACTGAGTCTCCCTGGCCGAGCTGAGACACTGAAGATGCCTCACTCACTCGAGTGGGGAGGAGCAGACCAGCACAGGCCAGAGCAGACTGGAGCAAAGTGGAGCCGGCCAGCACCCCAGGGAGCAGAGCATCAAGGAGCAGAGCTGAGCTGTCCAGCGGGGAGGGGCCTGGCTCCCGGGCTGCCTCACGGTTATGCTGTTTGCACAGCCATGCTGTATCATAACTGAGCTGTGTGCACTGAATAAAGTCTCCTTCACCACACCCGACACTGGGGGCTCCTGTTGCTGTTGAAATGGTGCCAACAACCATCAGTTGGCAGTTGACGGTGCTCTACAGAAAACAGGGTCTGAGACACGGGGGGCTAAAGGGAGGCCTTTGAGGAGGTGACTTTGAGTTGAGCCTTTGGTGACTAGAAGTCAGGATGGACTAGGTCAGTGGTCGGCAAACTGCGGCCCCTTGAGTGTGGCTCTCCCACAAAATACCACGTGCGGGCATGCACGTACAGTGCGATTGAAACTTCGTGGCCACACTCAAGGGGCCAAAGAGCCGCATGTGGCTCACAAGCCGCAGTTTGCCGACCACTGGACTAGGTGAAGAGCAACCTGAGCAGAGCGTAGAGCAGGCGCAAAGGCCCTGAGGCACCGGAGGTTGGCGTGTTCACAGAAAGACCAGCCACGGCATTGAACCAGGGACAGTGGTGGGAGGAAGGCCGGGCACAATGGGGGCTGGAGTGAGGACTTTATATTTGGCTTAAATGAACATTAGCCCCACCCCCTGAGAAACATGGCCCCATAGACACCCGTCTCTTTCATCTCCCCAATCCCAAAAGGTAACCCACCCACAAGCAGGAGCCAATGAGAGGGCGGGAGCCCCTGGAAGTCCTCCAATAGGGCCCCTCTCTCACCTTGCGGAAGTGGAGGACTGAGGTTCCCCCTGACAGCAGCGCTGGTTAGCGTCCTCTTTGCTGGTACTCTGGCCCGGGAATAAAGGCACTCCCACCAGGAATGAGTTATTTGCACAGAGGAATAGCTCTTGGAGTTTCTTTGACAAAAGACTTTTTTTAAACCCCTTAAAAATCTGGTCCTTGGCCTCCCAAGCCCTGGTCTCCAAATTAGGCAGGACACCCCGAGGCTCTTTGGGGCGTAAAGCCCTAGACCCCTTCACTGCTTTCTGTGTCCCCTTCATCCTGCCCCTGCCTTCGTTTTCTCATTTGTAAGCAGAAAGGATAATAAAACCTGTGTCGGGAGTTTGCCCGAAGATCGTCTCCATACCACGGTCTCCATACCATGTCTCAGATTTACTCCAGCCTGGCTGGGGCACAGGTGACAAGAATTAAAGGTACAAACAGCTGAGAAATCTAGAATTCTCCGCCCTGGCCACTGCTCCGGGCTTTCTCTGAACTTCCCTGTGAGTCTCTGCGGGCTCCCACTTCCGCTGCCACTGTTGGTTAAGCCTGACAGGGGAGCCCCAGGCTCTGTTTCCCACTGCTCAGGTTTCTTCAGAACTTCCCTGTGAGTCCCTGGGGCTCCCGCTGCCGTTGGTTAAGCCTGACAGGGGACCCCCCAGGTTCTGTCCCCCCCCCCCCC